TTTGATGACGACGATGGCCATAAGCGTGGACAGACTTCTCGCCTTGTTGTTAGGACTGAGATACAAACAAATTGTGAATTTAAAACGCGTTTATATCGCTCTAGCGCTATTTTGGGTTGTCCCCATTGTCGACACTCTATACTTTGTGTTTGTTTCTCCCATACCTCCTTGTTTGGGTCGTGTCATAATACCATCTTGCTTATTAATCTCAGTTGCTTCGTATATTAAAATTTTCCGTACTCTCAGTCGTCATCAGGCTCAACAACAGCCGAGCCAACCAAGTGCACTGAACATGGCGCGATATAAAAAGGCAGTGTACAGTGCACTGTGGGTACAGTCAGCACTAGTTGTCTGTTTTGTACCAGTAAGTATAGTTTTGACGGTAATGGCTCGCACAAAGACATATTCACCACTTCTAATGGTTACTAGAGAAATAGCAATTACTTTTTCTTACTTTAGTTCCACTTTGAACCCGTTTCTTTATTGCTGGAAGATCCATGAAGTTAGACGAGCTGTAAAGCAGACAATCAGGCAAGTAATGTGTTGTCCATGAATTTAGATTCTCCTTGAGCTGGATAGTAATAGATACGAAGCTTGAAAAGATTGTAGCTCGAGCATTTGTTGGTATTTTGTAATCTTGTGTGAAAAAACTTAAGGGCAAGGAATCGAGGCACTGAAGATACCTTGAGGAAACTAAATTTTTTATGATTTCGTGCAACAGTATTTACTGTGTACCAAGAAAAAAAAGAAAGAGAAAGAAATACAGTGTTATCATCAGACTCATGTACAAGATCATATTCAACAGAAGCCGAACCAACCAACTGCACTGAACATGGCGCGATGCAGAAAAGCAGTGAACGGTGCACTGGGGTTACAGTTAGCAGTGGTGGTTTGTTAACTACCATATGGTATGGTGGAAACTGCGATTACTAAAAGTCAAACATATTTGTCACACATAATTGTTACAAGACGATTAATTAAAAGGTCTCTTCATTTATTTTCACTCCACTATGATCCTGTTTCTTTACTGCTGAAAGATTCGTGGAGTACGACAAGCAGTGAAGCAGACAATCAGACATACTCACTTTGTCGTTGATATGGAGTTAGAGATCTTCCTCGCGGTATAATCGTGATCAGAAAGACATGAAATCAAAAAACCAACTTTATCTTAAGAAAGCTTGTTTTATTCGTTAAACCTTCTTAGAAAAATGCAATTATGGAGTAGAAATTTCAAAAGGGTGGTGCCAGAAGGAGAACTATTAAAGTCATTTATTTTTTCTAGCGGTAAAACAGTATATTTTCAAATCATTTAAAACGTGTGTTCATATATAAGGCGCTTGACTTTGGCGCCATGTTTCCCACACGAGCGCTGTTACGGGAAAATTTGATGAGTTTTCCATGCCTTTGTTTGGAACATATTTACGCATAAGATTTTTACGTTTAACCATTTTCGATTTATCCGAGTTCTTTCGCCCCAGTATTTAAAAAATACATAGAAAAAGACCACAGCAACTTTTGAATTGCCAACTAATACATTTGGTTGTTACTTTGCCTTTCATTGTACACCTGTATGTCGGAGCTTTGATGACCATTACTGTTGACATTGCATGTAAATAGAAGTGTCAGTGCTTTCTCCTATTGAAATATGAATATAAGTGTTTATGATCTTTCTGGAAAGTTGGTTCTTATGGAAGTTGACAGCTGAGTTTGTGCTCGTACGCACACTTTTCTCGCGTTGTCGCTTTTCCGAACTTAACACCAACATCGCATAAATTGGCAGAAATCATTACTACTTCTCACTTTTATTTCCTGAGCTACTCTACCGAAATCAAGAGAGTTGTTTTTGATATCAGAGCTATGAATTTTGAATTAAGTTTGCTCTTTTTAATGGCTTAGAGTCTATTGTATCCGCTTCCTTAGTTTTCAAATTCTTTCTGAACAGATGGAATATTTGAATGAAATCACTTAACCACGAAATACATTTCTCGCTCTTTCGCGACCTTATTCAAATATTGCAATTTGTATAATAATAGAACCTCGCGCAATTATATTGTGAAGCTTTTTCGATTACACTTTCGAGTACGCCGCTACTGTTTATGTCGCTCACAAGCATAAACGAGAATAAAGTTACTGTGAAACCACACGCCATTTAGTCCGTAATAAGTCCACAGAAGCAGGTCTCGTGTACCAGGAAATCGTGACGAGTTTCCGTTCCCGCAGTCAAGTGGTCTCTACCGAGCCACTTTCCCCCTTATCGTTGTGTTCCCTGCAAAATTCCAGTTAGCGCGAAAAATCTCTCATCACAGCCCGTCACAAAATCATTTACAGACTCGTTTTCATACTAAGGAAATTCTCCGGAAAGCTAATAATGTGCGAGAATGCATGTTTTTTTTTGTTACATATCAAAAATATTTCTGTAAGGGTATAGAGTACAATTGAAAAACTCAGGTTTTCAATGAGATTGAAAAGTCCTTTAAATATTGATAATTTTTTTGAATTTAAGTGAAACAATCAATCACCTCCCCTTCATGGTCACAATAGTTTTGCCGAAGAAAATTGAATTTTATCTCATATAATAAAATAGTAATTATGTCACGATTGTCTTATGCTTTCCTTTTAATGCGAATTCACGTCTGAATTCAACTTAACCAAGTAGGCAAACTTGAAGTTGTGTCGCACACTATTGTTTAGTTATAGATTCCAGCTTCAATCATAGGACACTCATGGATATACAGCATGAATGGAATATCACAGAATTGCGAGTTACCAAATAATTGCTTACGTTTGTCCAACATACGAGAAAAAAAATTTCGAAATGCATCATAAATTTTCTATCATAAAGGAAGAGAGCATGTACAACTGAGGAAAAATAATAAAATAACGAAGAGTTTGGTTGCATAATAGCGTGCCCTGACACTGCTTTGTTTCCAGTTTAAAATGGATGCGTAAAGGCACTTATATGCGGAAATACTTTTTTAATTAAAAAGCTGTGCTCAATTATTATGAAAAACCTCATTAGTTTCGTTCGCAGATTGTTACAAATTCAAGTTCATCCTTCGCCGAACCTGAGATAATTCAAATCTTAACTTCACTCAAATGTTATGTTAAAAAAAAATCAGTTAACTATTGTGATAAATGACAACAGAATGATGGCCAGGACAAATTTTACAGAACGTGGAACACAAGCGAAAACATTTGAAGAACTACGATGCTATCCCTCTTCGGCAGGTGGATCACAACAACAGTCGATAATTTTCTCAGCAGTAAACATCCTCTTCTCTATCATAGCACTTCTTGGAAATTCTCTTATCCTTGCCGCCCTTCACAAAGAATCCACACTTCATCCGCCGTCCAAACTCTTGTATCGTTGCCTGGCAACAACTGATCTGTTGATTGGACTTGCAGGCCAGCCTCTCTATGCCACTTATTATATTTCATTAGTTTACGAAGACTGGGATCTTTGTCGTTACGCAGTTGACGCCGCTTTCATCACAGGCTATGCATTATGTGGAGCATCTTTGTTAACGGTTACTGCTATCAGTGTGGACCGACTCCTCGCTCTGCAGTTGGGGCTGAGATACAAACAAGTTGTTACTTTGAAGCGCACGTATATCATTCTCGCTACGTTTTGGATTGTATCCAGTATTTCTGCTTTTTGCTACGTTCTAGATCCCCAGATATCCTTTTGGTGTAGCTATATAGTTCCACCTCCTTGCCTAATGATCTCGGTCGCCTCATACATAAAGATTTTCAGCACTCTTCGTTGTCTTCAGGCAAAAGTACAAGATCCTATTCAACAACAGCCGAGCGCACCAAATGCATTAAACATGGCGCGATACAGAAAGGCAGTGTACAGTGCACTGTGGGTGCAGTTAACATTAGTTGTGTGTTACCTACCGTATATTGTGATGCAAATTAAGATTGTTTACAGTAAGACATATCCATCTCAATCTTCCATAAGTTTTGAAATAGCTTATTCTTTAGTTTACTTTAACTCGACGTTAAACCCGTTTCTTTATTGCTGGAATATTTGTGAAGTGAGGCAAGCAGTGAAGCAGACAATGAGACAGGCATTTTCCTGCGCTTGGAATTAGACATTTTTCGATCGAGTTTTGCAAGTAATGCTGCTTTTAAAAGCGTATCTGCACAATTATGGTTTGTATTAAAGATGAGAGGATTTATCGTTCTGTAAGATTTCTCCTGATTCGCTGTTGTGGTTACCTAAGCCTGCTTTTGGTTTTATGACGCTCATTCGAAAAGCTCTCTAACAGCTTTCTCATGGAGACACGTTTCTTCACCTGAAATGATAAAATTTGAAAAAAATGCTGTCATCATGCAATTCTTTAAAACGCTTTCTGTTCCTGCTTAAAATAGTTCACGAGAGACATTACAGTACACTCACGTGCTCAAAGATATTTAAAAAGAGGATAAATCGTATTTGTACATTTTCAAATTAATTGTAACGTTTTTGGAAACGGGTGTAAATATAAATGTGTAAATATATATATGTATCTATGTATGTGAGAAAAAAAAACCCAAAGACTTCGAAAGGCGCAAATGTTATATACTTTGGTAGTACACGTTTCGCCGGTTAGGGCTTCATCAGTACAAAGTTATGCAAACTAAGGCTATATATACGCAGTTTATTTGCATACTCTATGACTTGGGAGGAAAAATACCATTTCAGTTTCTTACTTTTGGTTTCGACAGTCATGACATCAAAACCATAAAAACAGCGTGATCATCCCCCGTAGTTTTCACTGTCTATAAATTATGATTTTACGCACCTATTGCTCACGCTGTTTTAATTTTCCAGTGGTGTGGTTTGATTCATTCGAGCGAGAAAAGTTTCGGAATTAAACGGTAAGCATTTTACGATTAATGAAATATGTTGCATCTTCTGTCCCGGTTCATTACAATTTTGCAGTATATAAATATTTTTTATTCTAGATATGTTTTGGTGTGTAGTAATGATAAATTAGATTTCTCTTGTCCTTTTTGGGGTTAAAAATTTTTAAAATTTTGCCACCAGATGCTATAGAATGTGAACCCTCTACACCTCCCTCGAAGTATTTGACATTTCGACATGCAACTCCTCTCTACGATGTCAACACATAACCCAGCAAAGAGTCGATGAGAGTAGAGGCCTGTCAGCTGTACAGGGTGTTGATGTCACGCTAAATTCTTGTAACTTCTTTGGAAGAAAATATAAAGCGACTGGAAGAGAGAGTTTCGAATTAGACTTTAGAAGCTTACTGCCGGCCTTTATCAAGACCGGCCTTTTTTCAAGTCAAACCAGTATTGACTTCATAGAGGCTTAGAGTGTATGGGCCAGTTATTTACAAATTTTAGCCGTTGTTTAACAAAGCCGCGTTCTATGCCATCCTCAGTTTTGCCGAACCGTTTGTCTGAGCATTTATTCTTGTGAACAATGTCAAGAGATCCGAAAGCTAATAGTAAAATGATATTTATTTACCGCGGTGTGGGTTAGACCTCTTGTAAATATGAATTTTCCTTAAGAAAATATCAAATCCAGACCAAAAGATGCAAATTAAAAAAAACAAATGCAACGAGACCAAACCGCTATATGGAGAGCGTGAGGGCGAATTTTTTCCCCCAGAAATAAATTTAAACCGGGAGTGATTTGAATAAACAGAACACCGTTATAACATGAACGTTAGTTTTATTTGGATGATCAGAGTGATACAATGAACCTCGATTTTTCTAACCTTAAAAAATTTTGATGTTTCTGA